TGTTCACTTCCTATTTTGATTTGGACTTCCTTTCTGACTTCCCGCCACACCTTGTCCATCTCCCTGAAAAGCTGAGAAAGGGCAGGTCAGGTGTCAGTCAACCAGCCCAAAAACCAAGCAGTTAGGGCTAATGAGCATTCGTCTTTCTTGAAAAGCAGCAAAGTGTCTGTGTAAATTAAAATTGCTATGTATTTCAGCATTGCTTACAAGCTCACAAGTTTGACTCTTAACCTTTGCCTTTATTTCTTTTGGATATGTATAATTCATTACAGTATTTATCAGATGTCTTTCTTGCTATATGCTATTTCTCTATGCTCTCAGAAGTAAGAGGATTATTGTTAAATTACTACTTTTAGCTGAAATAGATAATTTTATGAGTTTCTCATTACTGCAAGTGGGTGCATGCCCTTCTTAACAAAACTCCACTCAGCAAGGAAAGTTATTTGAGAGATGCCTGCCCCTCTGCGTGTATTTTTCTGCTTGAAATTTGAACAAATTATCCAGAAGGATTTTGAAGGTGCTTCTACATCTCATTATGAATTCTGTGCAATGTGAAAATCTCAACTTTATTTTTGTCTTAGAAGTACATGTTTGGTATATAATTCCCTTTGGCAAGGAAAAGAGATTTTAGGATTCCACAAATCCAAATTCTTTTGCTTATGGCTATGTCCCAGTTGAAGTGTTAGATTTTCCTTGGAGATCTTTCAGAACCAGGAACGTGATTATTTTAGGAGGGTATGGTGCACATCAGTTTCCTGTTTAAACTGGTTCATTCTCTGGAGATGTGAAGAAATGTGTTGTTCAGCCTGGCAGGACTAATCCAAAGAGACACAAAAGAGAAGGAGGGGACCTCAAAGTTTGGAAGCATGAAAGTGTACAGGCTGGTGCAGTGAGATTTGGTTCATCAGTCATGGTTTTACTTTTATAAAAAAAGCAGAAACTTCAATATTTCAAAATCATACAACAACATTTGTATTTTGGTAATATCTCTTTCACACAATGGCTTTCTTCTTTCTTTTGGGATGCAAGAGGAATGCAAATCTACTCATTATTTTCAAACAGTCTCATACTTTCTTCAGAAGAATGGAAGAAACAAATTAACACTGCTTTGGTTCTTTGCACCTACCGCTGACAGTACATAACAGCTATTAAAAAATTAATTGTGTGAACTGGCTACTGTTAGTTCATGAAAAAGCAAGTGCTGTACTTTTTGTCTAGGCCTGAAAAAAGATGAGTCCTTTAGCCTCACTTTTTCTCATGTTGAATATGAGTCTCTCAGTAAGCACTGAGACACCTCCATTCACAGGTCTTGTCTCTGTCTGTCCTTCTAGGGGTTACAAGCGCAAACTGGATGAAGATGATGCTGCCAGTGAAACCAGTAAAGAATCCAGCAATGAAGATGAGGAAGGAAGCAGTTCTGAAGCGGATGAAATGGCAGCAGCACTTGAAGCTGAACTGAACCACTTCATGTGAGATTCATGCAGAAGACAGAATTTGTAATTATATTTACTTCTCATAAGCAGATCGGACTTCAGATTAGTCCCTTATGTCAGTACCCAATGTTTTACCAAAATGTGTGTGTATATTTTGCAAAGCATCTCAAGAGGTGATATGCTATTTTACAAAATCAGAAATAGATGTTTTTAAGTTGTTTTACAAAATGAAATATACTTTTTTAAGCAAAAAAAAGTATTAAATGGGACATGGTGTGCTATGCCAAAGACGTTAGGGGCTCTGCAGAACCTTCATGTACGGGACAGTGGTACAAAGACTTGTGTTAAACATACACCAAGTTTCTAAAAATATTGCAGGTTGTGCTTTATGGGTTACGATCTTCAGAAAAAGGAGGAGATAAAGGATATGGAATTGTCTGGGTAGTACAGCAGGCACCTGACAAACTGGTCATCCTTTTCCACAAATAAAGCTATCAAATATAAAAGGAGTTTTGAAATAAAAAAGAACGATTTATATTTGTATAGAAACAGAGAACGTGATATGCAAGCTTTGTGAACTCTGCACTTGACCCACCTGCCATTTGCTCATAAGAGAATACATAGTCATCAACATTCATGGTTTTAGGTTACTTTTTGAATAGTTGAGTTCTTTAGAGACATTGTTTAGATTTTTAACTTTTCTTCTTTGTAACCAGAAATTTAGCACAGCAGACTACGTGATCCTGTACTGCCACAAGAAGCATATTCACCCATTCATGATGTCTTGGCAAGAACAAATGCTACTTCAGTCTAGATAGAATTTAATTTCTTTGACAAGAGGTCTGATGTAAAGTTTTTGTATATTCTATTTCATATTTGACCCACAAAACAGATTTTCTTCCATTTAATAAAGGTTCATTTTGTATGCTTTGTTTCTCTTTGCTGTTCATTTCCTTCCATCAAACATAAGACTCTTTTCTGTATTATCTTTCCTTTATTCTGCATGAAAATAATGTGAAATATTGAAGGTAGGTGCAAATTTGTAGGTTCAGGCAGGTAGCTGAAGGACAGAAGAGAAACATTGGCTCAGAAGATTCATGGACTCTAACATCTGACTTTGCTCAGGTGTCTTTGACTGGCCTCTGAAATTACCATAAGAGTTGTCTCTCTGGTGTTGAATTTCTGTGGCTAGGACCATGGTTTATTCTCAATTGTTAGCAGCTAGAGCTTGGATCCTTTTAACAATATGATTGCAAAAGAAGGCTTGTTAGTTTGCATGTCATGGTTAAAAGGAAGAAGTATTTCTGGTGCAGAAGTACTTCATTTTTCCACTTAGCAGTAAAACAGAACGTTTTGGTAGAATCTAAGCTGTTTTACAAATAGCACTCTAATTTTAAAGCTTCATGATGACAATAAAAGGGAGATTAATAAAATACAAGAGCCTTTTCAGATTAATACTGTTTCTCCACTTCAAAATGTAAAGTCAGCATCCACAGACAAAAATGGTGGCTTTTGTGGGAAACTGCTCAGTTTCCTGGGCATTTACACAGGTACCAGACGTCTGAATGCTTCAGTGCCCTGCCTGCTGTAGCTCTCTGTGAAAACAAGCAGGATTGTCTCCTAGTGACTTTTCATCATATAACAGAAGAAAATTACTAATGCTTGTAAAATGGAAAGTCAGAATATTTTCTTTTTTTCAGCAACCTGAGTACAGCGTCCCCAGCTACCAGAGGATGACTCCTTAATTAAATACTAAAATGCCAGGGGTTGTGGGCGTGTTTTGTGTTTTCTTAAAACCCCACTTGAAATAATGTGAAATAACATCAGCTTTCTGGGTCACCGTGATGCTGCAAATGACTTGACAGCGCACATTTCAGCAGAGACTTGTTCTGGCTGATGGTCTTTGCTAGTCACGCAATTCTGGGGCAGCATTTAAGCTCTGAATTTAAATGGAGCCAGCAAGCAAAGCCAGACTTTGATGGGTGCTGCATCCCTGGCACCGCAGCTGCCTCACAGTGCTTGTGGGGAGATCCTCTGCAGACAAGCTGTCTGGTGAGAGAGGCTGTATCTGTCTTCCAGTGTTATTTTATGGATGATGGTTTAACTGGTGGAAGGGGGTGGTCTGGGCAGGAGTCCTAAAAGCCATCAGCACTCCGGTATCTTTTAACAATCCCTGCCCTCCAGCCCTTGTAGTAGGGGAGACCTAGCACAGGGAGGGTTGAGCAATTCCTTGCTCACTGCCAGAGCAGCCCCAAAGGCACCAAATCTGCCGTCTGCTGAAAAGTAACCTGCTCAATCAGGTGGTTGTGCTGAGTGCACAGGTGGGAGAGAAAAGTGGAAACTGAAGATTTGATAGATGGTAAGTTAAATGCCCATTCTAACCTGCCAGCAAGAAGTCTCTGAATGTATGAAGTTTGTCACTCACTCCCACTAGCTTACACTTTTTTGAAGGTGCAGGAGCATCCTGGGAAAAGCAACAAATGTGCTTTGTGGAATGAGTTTAACTCTTCATTAAGTGACCTAGATATTTTCACTGGGTGTTTTAGCCTGCCTTTCTGTCCTACTTCTGTACATTAGGTAGCTAGCAAGGACCTGCTACCAGGGAGGGCACAGCTGAAGCATGGAACAGATTCCCAGTGAGGTGGTTGAACTCACTGGGCAGTAATGGTTTCTGAAAGGGTACCGGGTGTGGAAATGAGCACAGAAAGGGCACCTTGCTTCGTCAAGCTTTCTAAGTGTGTACTATTGCTGCTGGCTAGGAAAGATGGCTCCTAAGGGCTCATGGTTATTTAAGAACTGGGAAGATCCATCATTTTGATTTAAAGACCAATAGTTTTACTTTCTCCTTGTCTTGCCCTTAAATGTTAAATCTCTTAAATCTTAAGAGAATGAGAAGACATCACAGCTCTGATGGGGATCATAGAATAGTTTGGTTTGGAAGGGACCTTTAAAGGTCACATAGTCTATTCTTCCTACAATGAGCAGGGACATCTTGAACTAGACCAGGTTGCTCTGAGCTTGGTCCAGCCTGGCCTCAAAGGTTTCCAGGGATGGAGATGTAGTAGGACCTGTGATAAAGGCAAAAATCATCACATAGTGGCCAAGCTTTTCTCCTTGTGCCCGTGCTGGGGACAGGGGAAGAAGAGGGAGCCTTTGCTTAGCGCTGAGATGCGAAAAGCTCCCAGCATGCAGATACTTTCCCTGTTGGGTTGTGTGTATATGTGAAGGACTTGAGTTTTCTGTGTTAGATAGTAACATCGTCTGTGAAAGGTGGGAAGTCTCAATTTTCCTTCTTGGCACTACTGCTTGCAGAATAGGTGACTGTCTCGCAAGTGTGAAAATACACATACACAGACCTGGAGCTGTACCTAAAGATTTCTCAGCTCTGCCTAATTTTACTACAGTGAAAACTGCAGTAGATGACAAGTCGAAGAATAAATACATAGTGGTTTGGTTAAGGTGTCGATTTCTCGGGGTTCTGAGGGTCAGGGTGACCCTGAGAGATCATAAAGAGTCTTTGCTTCCCTAGCCCAACGCAGCCAAAGAAGGAGTCTGGAATGTTTCCAATTGCGTTTTCAAGGCTGTTTATTTTTTCTTATCTATAACATTCTCTGACCTGCCAAGCTCCATCCAGAAAGAAAGCAATGGCTATCTGCCCTTGAGCCTCAGGCAGCTCCCACATTACATACTCAAAACTACATGTCTATGTTTACAATTTATTACCAATTCCTATCATCTATGTTAGACAGTGAATCCCTACTTTGAACCAATAGAAAAGTGTCACCATCACACCAAGACATGGACAACAAGACAAAGGAGAAGAAAGCCAGAACATGCCCAGATTCCTCCATCTTGACCCCCTGAATTATATTCTAAAAAACCCACATTTCTAGTTTTCCACCCTGTGTTAATTCAAATATCACACTACTCAAACCCTTGTGGCTTGTAATGCCTTGTATAAACTTGGCAGTTTTCCACAGGCTAAAATCAAAGCCACAGGTGTTTTTGACTTCATGCCAGGATTTCCGAGCCCACTTCATGCCAGGGTCTCAAGACAGCCAGGGCAGCCAGAGAGATATCCTGGACTCCGACATGAAGGAAGGGAGAGAATCTCATCATGTAGCTGAAAATTCAGCCTGAAAATACTCCCAATTCTCACTACCTGCAGGAAAGCCTTTATACATTCATTTTTCCTATCCAATCCTACTTTCTGTTGTTATTTCAGAAGTGTTTGGAGCCCAGCGCTTGGCCCAGCCTCCTCTCCCTTCCCTCTCTCAGGAACGGGAGGCAGCAGTACCCAGTCCCACAGGCACCATCACCTACAGCAGGCATACGTACCTGTACTGATAGGCTGCAGCTGCATGTTCTGTGCTCTTTCTGCTGACCTGGCTTTGAGAGAGAGAGAGAGAGAGAGAGAGATGACCTCTAGCAACTGCAGTAACAAATAGTACAGAGAAGTGAAAATACTGCCTTTTTGTAGGCTGGGTGTGGGTGCTTGTATGTGGAAAAAGGAATATCCTTCTTTTAGGAATTTATTCCTCAGTGTCATACAGTTTATAACCATAAATGGAAAAACCTTTGCTTCTGGTCTGGCCTCCCATGAAGATCAACTAAACCATTCCCAGCAGCTGTTAGGTCATTGTCCCCAAGAACCAGGCCAGCTGTTTCCTGGGCCTCCTCAGAGCCCACATGAATCCTGTTATCTTTCTCCTCCAAGGAAAGAGTAGATCTGTTGTCACGAATATTTGCATGACAGAATGGGAGTGGACCTCTAGAGGTCATCTGGTCTAATCCCCTGCTCAAGCAGGGAGGGTCACCTGTTCATGTCCATGTCCATGTCAGTATCTGGATGTCTGCAGGGATGGAGAGTCCACAGCCTTTGCTGTCCCCTCACAGTAAAAAGATATGGGGTTTTTTAACTTTTTTTTTTTTAGGGGAGGTGGAAAGGAAAAAAGTGAACACAAGGAGCACAATTGCTGGCTAAGACAGAGGAGGCATAAAGTAGGTATGGCTTTCACCCCCACATTTCTCAAGGAGCTGAAACTTTAGGATGCATGATTGCCAGAAGCTTGTTCTTTTTCAAGTCCAGAACCAGACACTACTGGTTAATGAGAGTGTGGATTTTAATAAATATGTGATGAGTTTTTGAGCCACTTGAGAGTTTATGTTGGAACAGGATTTGAGAAGGATGTCAGGCACCTGGAACACAAGATCACTAGAACTGTGGAGAAACAGACATAAACTATAAGCCAAGCTCTCTTTTGTGCAAACTCTATTTCTGGTACAGCAAATTATTCCTTTCACTCCTCTCATTCTTTGTGACTCCTTCTTTTGGCTGGAGAGTGGTAGAAATGCCCCGTGACCTGATCCCAGGGAAGGGTAGGGTTGGCATAAACCCCAACCCCAGAGCACTCAGAACATTTACTTGGTGAGATGGGGGCTGATTTTGACTCAGATTCTGTCGTGTGCACTGAGCAGAGGGTGGGTTTGATGTGTTTGCATTGCTGACTTCCATGGGCCCTTTTAAACCTCCTGGAGTTCTCATCCCTGCAGGTCTCATGCCCACAGAGCCTGTGCCAACACTCATGAGTCAGAGCTCCCTTGGCAGAGGATGATTAATTCTCTTTTCTTTCCACTCTCCATCCTAACTCTGCTCCCTGAAAAGGAGCCATATCTGGCAGATGTAAGTATGTATGGCACTTCTAAAGATCTCCATCCCAAGATGAAGCTGGGCTGACTTAGTCATTGGGTGGGTTTAGAGGCACTTTAGAGGTAGAGCAGATACTAACCTGAAACAACAGAGGTAAAAGTGCATTTTTTTGCCCTATTTGTGGGATGGACAGCTGTGTCCACGGGTTCCTTCCATGTACTGTCCTCTTCCATTGAGCAGTTTTCCATGAATCAGTGCATCTTGCCAGGAGACTGGGTGTAGATATTCTCAGTTCAGTCAGAGAGAAAAAGAGAAAGGTTTCTGCCAGGCTAAGCCTGGGAAAAAATCCGGGAGGAATGTAAACAATTATTATCTCTCTTTCTGTTCATGTTGTTTATAGATATGTTCTACCACTGTCTGCTATTCATAGTACACCAGTGGGGTGAAAGGTTTTCACTTTGAGACCAATCATATTTCACCTTAGCAATCCTGGTTATAAAAGAGGAACGCTACTTGTTAATAAAGCTCATTCTTTGCCTTATGAAGATGGAGTCTCTTCATTCCTGTCCCTGCCTCAACAGCAACAATAGGCAAGCAGAATAGGGACAGACCTTCCTCCTGAGGCACCACTGCCATCTTCCTGAGCCAAACTCTCACCAGAGCTAGCAGACAGTAACTGTATTGCAAAACCACATGGGTTTAATAGACAATGACAGAACACCCATCCTTCTCCAAGTCTATTCTTAGAGCAGTGCAGTTCTCCTCTGTCCCTTCTACACCTGCCAGGGGAAGCCTTGAAAAAGTGAATCTCAGTGACAGGCCTCTACTGACAGTCATCATGAGGGAGAAACCTTGACCATGGACTGTCAGAAGAGCTGACAGTCCCTTTTCCTTTCCTTCCTTTCCCTTCTCTGCAGGAGATCAGCATCTCTAAGTCCCCAAGACTGTTTGTCTATCAGATTTTGGATGTTTTTGCTCCTTCACAGCAATCAAGCTGTTCTTGCTGAAGCACAGACTATGGTTGCTTTTGATCAATTGTAAGAGGCAAAGCCCGTCGGCAACAGAAGCTAGGGACTTCTTATAAAATGAGGGAGGCTGGACTGGACAAAACACAGGTTGAGCCAATATGGTTAAAGCTACGTTCTCTGTTTATTGTCTGTAAGATGGCAGTTTATATACACTTCAACATAGTTTACAAATTGTGAGCACATTATCATTGGTCAGCAAACATTGTTTGTCTTTGCCTTAAAGTGGCCAGAGTTCTGCACTGCAGCTCTACACTAATTCACACCCAGAAAACCTATTAACACCATGATTACCTTAAAGTAATTTCTAACTGTGCAACAACAATTTTCTTACTATGCCAAAGGCTTCCAGGCCTCACCAAGGCTGCTTCTCAGAGGCCTAGCCTGAGGGTAGCTCAGTCCTTCACTCTAAATATAAATCATGTCCTGTCTCTCTCAGAAATCTGGTAACAGGCAACAGCCTCTTCCTCCTCCTCTTCAGACCAGGTGATGGTGCTTTTCTGGCAGGGAGCACAGCAAGAAGTCAGAAAAGCTTATCTTTTCAGATGTACCACTATGGATATGTATGACCCTTTCAGGACATAAGTAATAAACATGTCACTTAGTTCCAATACAAATGCTGCTTGGTGCTCTGTTTTAATTAAGTGGATGAGTTTGGTCCTCAGAGAGCTCAACATGTCCTTGGGTAAATAAATATTTTAATAATTCAGCTTTTTCTCTCATAATCTTATAGCTGCAACCCACAAAAAAGCTTTATTTTCCTTGACACTGAATACCAAATAAAGAACACTCCATCTGATTCCTCTGCTTTTTGCTTTCTGTCCTTGGATCCAAGCTCTCAGCCCACCTGTCAGACCAAGGCAGAGCTCCACCATAGGACCTATATGCACAGCAGCCCTGTGCTGAGTCCACAGGACACAGCCATCAGCTGCACCCTCCCTCCAGGGCTGCCTGTGGAATCTGTGTCACCTCTGAGCCTGCCTCAGAAGAGCAGCTGTGCATCTTCCAGCACCCATCTGCTTCACTGACCATCACCCTTCCCTCGCTGGTGGAAAAGGCTTTCAGTTTGCTGGCACAAAGCACATCTTCCTCTGCAGCTGGCTCCTCCTGCCAGCAACCCAAGACACTTTTCAGTGCTATTGGGTTTTGGCACTTTAAATCTCTTTTTTTTCTTAACGTTCCTAAGACAGCTAAGGAGCTGAAAGAAGGTCCCTGGTGGGCTGTGGGATAGGAAAGAGAGAAATTCAAAAGTCTGAAAGTTGTGCATTACCAGAAGAACTTATCTCTCACTACAGAGGCTATGCCTGGTGTGCATCCATCTGAACATACCCATCAGGCGAGGAAAGATGAACAAAGGCTGGACACTGTTTCCTTACATGAGAGGGTCCTCAGTCTATAAAGGGAAAGAAGTGGGCAAACCAGAGGTTCATTAGATTAGAAATTCTCCTCTACAGAATGTGCCTAGGGCTGTATTAGCCCAACACCTACTCCTCTCCTTGAACCGCAGGTGCCCTAGGTGCAGACTGGGGCGCAGCAGGGGTTAATGTAACTTTGAATTGCCTGCATTTGACGTCTGTGAGGCAGAGGCACTAGCAACCGCAGTGGAAGTGCTGAAGAAGTCTGTGAGTAATTCCTGCTTGATCCCCAGCTTATATCGTTTGCCTCATTACGGGACTGCCTGCAGCCTTCAGCTGCTCTCTGCTTCCCCAGCGTTAATAGATGTCGCCTGCCTCCGTGCCACGTCCCTGTCCCAGCTGAGCTGTGCGCGGCCTCCCCCCGCCCGAGCGCTCTGGGGCGGGGATGCAGCAGCTGCTGCCCGAAGATGTGCGGCGTCCAAAATGCAGCCCTGGCCACGGTGCTTTGCTGTGCTGCAGCACAGGCTGAGACTCGAGCGGCAGCGCAGAAACAGCTGCTGCTTTCAGAGAGCAAATAACAAAAATGCTGCCCGCGCTGCAGAGGAACAGAGTGCAACTCCGCTGCAGCTCAGCCACCCTGGAGCAGCCCGGAGCAGGACATTCCGGGCCCCTCACCACAGTGCAATCATTGAGATGCTGGAGTGTGTCAAGGACAGCGAAGCTGGGGAAGGGTCTGGAGCACAAGTCCAATGAGGAGCGGCTGAGGCAGCTGGGGGTGTTTAGTCTGGAGAAAAGGAGGTTCAGGGCAGACTTTATCACTCTCTACAACTGCCTGAAAGGAGGGTCTGGCCAGGTGGGGGACGGTTTCTTTTCCTAAGTAGCAAGGGATAGGACAAGAGGAACGTACTTCAAGTTTTACCAGAGGAGGTTTACTTAGATCTTAGGAAAGAATTCTTTACTGAGAGGATGATCATTGGAACAGGTTGTCCAGAGAGAAGTGTTCAAAAGGTATGTGGATGTGGCACCAGGAAATATGGTTCAGTGGTGGATTTGGCAATGCTGGGTTAACAGGTTCAATGAGCTAAGAGGTCTTTTCCAACCTAAACTATTCTATAATTCCATAAGACAGCCCCTGTGTGCAGGTCTCTGCCTGGGTTTGGGTGAAGCAGGTCCTCACAGTCAGCAGGAGCTCCATGCCCCAGCAGCCTCATCTGGAATCCAGGTCATGGTATTAGGGGCACAAAATGTGTTGCTTTTCTTAGATCCCCCCATTGCTTGTTGTCTTTGTGCTGCAAAGGGCTGTGGGACACCATGGAGCTCCCAGGCAGACAGCTCCTACCTGGTGGAAACTGCTGTGTC